AAATCGGGGATTTTTTTGCGTCATTAATATTTTCGTAAGACTAGCACTTTAAGTAAGTTCAGTAGGCCTCAGTGGAGGGCGTAGATCTACAAAACGTTGCACTAATTTGTGCAATTTTGTTAKTTAACTTCTTCACGGATATATGGTATGCACTTTAACGTTTCCTGGTTAAGACTATTTTGTAAAAGGTTAGCATTGCTTACATGGGACCCATCTTCGGTACAAACGTGAGGAGACCTTTTGGGGATCGTATAGGGTGGTTCTACCAAGGTGTCCGTCCAGATGATAGTTGCATTTGCAAATATCAGGCAAGAAATTGCTGTCMCATGCATTTTCAACTTTGCAAAAGGTGCCCGGGACGAAATAGACTTTACCCCCTTTTCTCGTAGTTTTCGTTTTGTTTTGACTAGATTTATACCTGTGTTCCCATCGTATTAAAGCGATCCCAAACCAAGGAGAAGAAGAAATAGTTGTGGAAAATGGTAGTCCAAAACTRACTGTAATATACTTTTACACATTAAAGAATGTTGTAGTAGTAGGGCGGATAGCGGTTCAAGTCGATTTTGTTTTACGTCCGAGCCGCCTGAGTGGATCACTATTCTTCCTACTACTAAAGTTCTTCTAGAACTAACCGGTTAGTCTGGCATCAAARAATGATAGCTTAATTTTATTGCAYCGTAGAATGGCTCAGAGTCGGTAGTGCAGTGTGTATTGGAGCAAAAGATGATAAGTTTGGAAAGTTTACTATCCCAGTTGCCTGCCATGTCTTGAACTTCAAACTTGTTTATGTGTCTGGAGGTGGAATATCGTGGGYASMTGGAAACACCAAAGCCTACTGGGGAACTACCTATAGAAGCGACAACAAGGATCTTAATTTACACGTCACTGATGCCGACAACAATAGAATCAGTCCACCACCTGACTTCCCATTGTATCCCTCGTTTAATACTCTGATGATATACCAGTTACCAGGTGTGACGAACATGGACCCAGATTTTACATTCCCTGAGTTGTCACCTCCCCTAACAGTGACAGCAGGCAAGGAGTTCAGGATATGGGTGGATCAAGATCTGAACAACGTAAATGAAGGAAACAACGAGGGACAAACTTGTGCTGATGTTTGGATTAAGAAATACTAAAGCTACTCTTTTGCYAGAACTAATCAGAACTAGTCATTTGGTACAGCGGTTTTTCGCATAAGAGATACAATACTTCTATCAGGAAAATGTTTCGTTTATTCAAAACATTTCGATTTCTATTTTTAATTAACAGTAAAGGATATACTCAAACCGTTGCTTGTTTATTGACAGACACTTAAACTGCATTATCAATCACAGTCGATGATGATGATTGATGGCTTTTCTCTTAATAGTCACCGTCACCGTTCCCTGCGCCATCTTGAAAAGTAGCCGTGCCTTTACATCGAAGCGAGACGAACGGTGAGCTTGCAATGATAGAGACATGTGAATTATTATCCAAGGTGTTAAAAAAGGTCTCTGTYATWGCARGCTCACCGTTCGTCTCGCTTCRATKMAAAGGCACGGCTACTTTTCAAGATGGCACAGGGAACTGTGAAAGGGACTATTGTGCACAGCCTTGAAAATGCAACATTGTGATTTTTGTAGAGTGAGACTTAAACTCGAAGTCGGGGGCTCCTGCACCTGTTCCGATCGTAGCAAAAAGTATTCTCTTTTATTGTTAGAGCCCTGTAAGGATTACCAGGGAATTTTATTTCATAATAGAAAAAAAAAGRTAATTTCTATTTAGTATTAATCGTATGAAGAAAATTGTACATAAAAGTTTCAAGACTTTGTACTTGCTCAACGAATTGAGTCGAATCGTTTGGTATGRAAAGATTTTGGCTTCGAAATGTCTTTACCGTCATGTTGCTTGTGGTCTTTAGGGCTCATTTAGAGTTTCATTTTTTATATGATTAGGATTATTGTATTATCAATTATCTATTGCAGCTGTCAATCAAGCCTCGTTATAATGTACTATGTTAATCATCATGTGATCTATTAATCCCTTGTTAAACCAACAATAAAACCTGATAAATGTTGCTGATTTYATATAAGATATTGTGTCGCACGTGTTCAACACGTGATGGGGTTGGGTGTTGTGTTTTCATATAGRTCCTCACAGCTATTTTYCCCTACTAACCATCAGTGACTTGAGAAGAGTAAACTTCTAGGTTCGGATTAACTCAAACTTCCCGCGCGCTTCAGTGATTACGAGCGTATGCAAATGAGGCGGCAAAGGCAATATGTCCGGGCATTCTGCGCCATGGATTTGGCCGGGGATTGGGTTCAATTTAAGTGAAATACCAGATGCGGTCAATTCCAAACCAAAAGACCCTGAAGGTACCCTTACTTTTGTACAGGTTCGATTGCAGATTCGATTGCAGTTCAAGGGCGTTTGGACCGACCATTCTCCCTCATTCCCTTTCCAAATCCATCCATGACCTCTTTGACTCAAGAAAAACCGAAAACCGAAATAACAAATCGGGTCTACTGGTCATAGCAAGGGGTTAATTATCTACGTTCTAGTGGTCGACTAACCTCTCTCTTATGCTTCGGCCGAGCTTCCTGGTCAGTTTGTAATTCCTCCCGGGATAGCGTTGAGCCGAAATCCCGAAACTTCTGAGAAGTGATRTTTGGACCCAGGATGACAAGGGTGGGAGGGGAGCGGGTGTGGGGAGAGTGGCGAGTCGCTGTAGTGCCGAATATTTACTCATGTGAATAGACATTCTATTATGAACGGAGTTGAATTTCTGTAACTTTGTTATTCAATGTTATTAAAACGCTTTTCTATCCAGCTGCTGTGTGTCATAGCAAGCCTTGCCGCCCTAACCTTTAGGGTGCTCAACCATTCTTTGTGGTTTCATGCATGGGAGCCATGTTGTAGAGCAAAAACTTCTACATTTTCTTTTAGTTGAGAAATAAAAAGTGTGTGTGGTCAAAAAATTAATACTACCATTGTTGTTTTCAAACTTTTATTTATCCCAATGCAAAAACAAAACAAAACCAAACAACAACAACAACAACAACAACAGCAAATCAATGTAATTAACTTTCAGATCTTGTGGTAAATTATCAGGGGTCATATAGCAGAGTTTGAATTTTTGGGAGGGTGGAGGGTGCAACCCCGAAAAATAAATTCAAAATCCAACATCCCAACAAAGAAAGGAAGAACGTGTGTTGATAGAATATAAACAGTGTTTATATGAACATTTCATTGATATTCTGTATAAAATTAATSAAGTCATTCATTGAAGTTACAGCGATCGAATAATGTCATGTATGTCATGTAGTTATACACCTATTCTAAATACTCCTAATGATATGCGAAAATGAAATAACTCAAAATAATCGATCATTAGCACTACTGCATATTTATGTGCACGTGAATAACGCCACGGATTGGCTATAAAAGCGCCTCGAGTAAATGCACTCATTCTTGCTTAGTTTTGCCAGCGGAACGAGCTGGACTGACGGTCCACCCACCCACCTACCCATGGGTCCACGTGGGTCGTATTTGACAGCACCCCTAAGCCAAGSTGTTCCAGCTTGGCTTAGACCGCTGGTTAATATTTCATCCCATCTCTTATATATCAACTGAGCATGAATGGGAGTATGTGGAATAGGTTACTATTTCAAAAGGTTGTCAGACCCAACTGAGGTTAGTCCGCAAAGATTGAAGTTTCGTTTGCCAAGAAATCTAACAAAATCAACGTAACGTCAATATTATGATCCAGGTTAGAGTGTCAGCAAAATCGTGGGATATCAAGATATATATCGTGGTATATTGTTATTGAAATTTTTCTAAAACAACAGCCATTTTGGGAATCCAATAAAGAGTTTTGTTTATCATCTCTTGAGTTGAAAAAAAAAGGAATCAGACAAAACTAACTGACGAATAATTAGTATTTCGTTATCCAAACATCAGCACAAGTTTGTCCCTCGTTGTTTCCTTCATATACGTTGTTCAGATCTTGATCCACCCATATCCTGAACTCCTTGCCTGCTGTCACTGCTAGGGGAGGTGACAACTCAGGGAATGTAAGTTCTGGGTCCATGTTGGTCACACCTGGCAACTGGTATATCATGTAACCGGACTTAGCGTAAGTTAGTGGGAARTCAGGTGGTGGACTGATTCTATTGTTGTCGGCATCAGTGATGTGTAGATTAAGATCCTTGTTGTCGCGTCTATAGGTAGTTCCCCAGTAGGCTTTGGTGTCTCCATTTGACCACGATATTCCACCTCCAGACACATAAAYAAGTTTGAAGTTCAAGACATGGCAGGCAACTGGAATAGTAAACCTTCCAAAGTGATCATTCTTTGAACCAATGCGCACTGCAGTACCGACTTTAAGCCATTCTACGATGCAATAAGATTGAACTGAATAGTTAGTGTCAATGGCATGCAGTATTAGTGAGGTAGCAGTGTTTTTGAAGGTCTGACCAGGGAATAGGAACATTGTGTACAGGGATGAACTACWATCCGCTACGAAGTCGTTCATATATGAAAAAGCGTAGCGGTTATTTTTAAAATTCCAATTTTTTGCATTAGAACTAATTAACTTTATTTGATATCTTTTATTATTATATATATTTTGAAATGGCTATTTTATCCAGCAAYCTGATTGCTAAGACATTGTACTAATTACAAAGTTATTTAATAGTATGGATTACAGTGTTAATCAAGGCTTTGCCTGGCCTTGGGGAAAAGGGGACCAATTTGCGCGACTCACAGGAATTTTCCCCGCTTAACAATAGACTATAGTTCCTATAATACCTATAGAA